CATTGAAGAGACTTACGTTTGACAAATTTGCTTAATCAGTTCGTAAGAGAGGCTCCGTATGGACGACTGTCAAATATATACACATATATATGGCACTTTCTCAGAAATATCTCTAACTGCCTTGCACCAAGATAATTTCACCAAAATATAATTACTTAACCTAGTGACCATATTCCAAGTTGATTGATAAATTTTTAATCAGCGCTAAGTATTACACAAAATGTATTATTGGTTACTATTACGTGATAAGTTAATGCGTAGGTGGATCACTTCTGAAAAATTTCATTCAGTAGACTAATAGTTCAACAGAAATATTTCTCATTGTGAGAATGAGTGACAAGGTCTGGAATTATATAACAAGCATCAGTTTCCCTATGAGTAAGAACACCCTTTATCAGACGGTGCAAAGTTGAACGCTAAGTCGGCATTTAGGCTACTTCATCCAGGTAATAATAATCAAATCAAATCATTCAAACTAAATTACTTATAGATTTAAATATACCGAGTTTATCAGCATTAAGAAGCCAAATGAAAATTATTTTATCATTCATAACTAGTTATCACATATAGTGGTATAACGATATCATACATTACTTTCATTGACTGTTAAGTAAAAACAATTATTTTCAAGGTATCAGCTCATTCCAATTTTGAATTGTTTCATCATACTTATGTTTTGAACCCTTCAGTAATTTATTTCACTCTTCCTTTTTTTAGCAAAATCAAAAAAACATTTGACTGATCATTATCTAGCAAAAATACATCTTGAAAGTACAGACAAGAGAACATGCATTTTAGTTAGATTAATTGATAAAGATCGGTATTTTCAAAATTCTTCATTTCCACTTAATGAATGAAAGTTAGTACAAATGTGTAGATAGATGAATCTAGTTTTGAAAGAATAAGATGTTTGTTTTTTTATAAAGTAGAAAAAGGCTTGATTCGTGAATTTTTCCCTACCTATATAAGAAATTACTTATTCGTTTAAAAAAAAAGAATGAAAAAGGTAATACACTATTCATTGAATAAAAAGTCAAAGCGAATCAGATTTTTACAATTTTTCTAGTAGTAGTAGTATGAAACTTTCACATTCCATTTTTCCTATAGTTTAAATTAGGTCATTGTAAAATTTACATGAAAATTATAGTTGAACCTAGAATGATAGATATTGGACAACTTGTTAATAGATGAATTGACTGTGTGATTGACTATCATGACAAATCAAATTGTCCCATGGACAATGGTTCCTATATTAAGTCATTGGTGAGTAATGACTATTCAGTAAATGATTTGAGAAGATTATGGTTGTGTGAAAGCTTGCCATAAATGTGTCCAGTATTCTGCTGATGATTATATTTGAGTTATTTACTTTGTTAGAAATGAAATAAAAAATCCAGTTATATGTAAAACTGGAGTAACTAACTAAAAACAGGTTAGTCATGAAATCATATATTTTCAGGTAGAGCTTTCGAGGTTTGTGTTTTTTTACACATTTAAATCACCAATCAATCATTGTTAGACCACCATTAGATACCTGGAAGCACTGGACGGCCGTTTCGTCCTGGTATGGGACTCATCAGTGGCAGTGGGCATCTATGACTCCTGCATCTCGCAGGATTCGAACCCAGGACCTTCGATATTGTGCGCGAACGCCTAACCATCTGACCATTTGGGCCGGCATCCAACGGTGTGAATCGTATATGCTTACATCGTTAGTTGACAATATAGTACCACATATACTCATTAAAAGCAAAAATTGAGTTCAGCTTGATAAACATATTGTCAGTAGGTTTGTCATCTCTAAAGAATACGTATGACATTCTAATAAATAGGTAGTAGGTTTTAACTTTCTTTCAACTGTTTCAGTAAAATAATTGAGATCGCTTTAACAGAGCCTAAACAAACTATAGTTCCAAACAGAGTATATGCATGTAAATTTTGTCATCGAGTTTTACTATTTACATGATTATGAATAATATCTCTGTCAAATTAAAAGTTTCAATATGAAACAGATTAAAATCCTTATTTATGCTGATTAAATATCGTTTCTACATTTTTTCTAATGAACTCTTTAATCGTAAACTTTAACATTTATATAACTAAACATAAAAATATTAAGTATACATTTTCTTACTTATAGGAATTAGATAGCCATAGGGATTTTAATGTAAAAAATCTACCATAAAATTTCCTAAAATATTTTATTTAACCAAATTTATCAATGAATCAGAATAGAAGTTGACACTCTTCATAACTATAATTTTAAAAATTTAAAGATATTTATCCAATCGTTTTATTGTTACGTTATAATTATAGTAAAACAAATTCAATATCTAAGATTATAATCGTCCTTGAAAATAATAGTATTTGATTAGGAATAAAAATAAAATAAAATAAATGATCATTTTTGAGAATTATTTTAGATTTGAATCTCCTTAGTAGTATTTTGACCGCTCCACTTGTCTTGGGAGTATCATCAATGCTGGTCGCCAGATGACTGATCGAATCTCAGAACGAATACAGAAGGCTCAACTAGCTTACGCTAACTTGCTTCACTTTTGGTGCATGCGAGATATCTGTTTACCACCCAAAAGATGGGTTTACAGTACAGCAGCAGCTCCGTCCTTATATACTGGCATGGAACAACGCCAGTAAGAAAAGAGGATGTTCATTAGGCTAATAGTATTAGATCATCGGTGTCCTTGATGCACTGTGCATATATTCTGGGACAACCGAATAAGCAATGCTGTCGTTGGGAAACGAGTACTAGGTAAGTACGTAAAATCAGTTGATAAAATAGTGAATCTTCATTAGCTGAAGTAGTTAGGACACATGTTACGTATGCCCAACCGCCGACTGCCTCGATAAGCTATGTTTTGTGGTGTAAGAGTAGGTTGGAAGAAAGCTAGGGGCGGCCAGATCAAAATATAGCACAAATCCATGAGGTCACTGACAACTGGACTGAGCCATGTTAGTAGGTGTAGACTGTCAGGTTGGGGTCCGCGCGATGATAGTAACCAATGGTTAGAGACCATGGAATGACACGGCTCGAAATTGTTTACAATCTCCTGAGTTCGTCGTGACCACTTTTCCCCTTTTGTTAAATCGATTCCTCTGGGACATACTTCGGGAACGATATCTTAAACGCCTAATCTACTACCACGGGGTTTGAATTGACAATTCAATCTCTGTGTGCTAATGTGGCATGGCTACTTGAACTGCTGTACGTACGTATGAAATTCTACTTTGTAGCTAATCGACTGACATCAATAATATTAGACATGAGTGCATTCATCTATTTTGCAAGTGATAATAAACTATTTATAGTGAGAAATAAATAATTTAAGAAAATGACATTTAAAACTGATATTGATCAAAAATACTGTGTATATAGATAAGAGAGAGAAATTTATCTTCTAACTTGATGATATTTAAAGGATTACTTGATAACTTTGAAATGTAGACCTAAGAATTTTTATAAAAATAAATATTACTTGTGTATTGTAAAACACACTATACATAAATGTAACACATTTACATTGTAAATAATGAAATGATTCAATGGTGAAAAAAAATTAACACTCGACTGTTTACCATGAATCTAATTTCTGGTTCAATAGCAAAATTTATTATAAAAATAACTGTTTATCTGAAAAAAACAAACTATTACTTTTAAACTGACTGAGCCATTGAAAATTAAGCATTCAATAACGTTAATGATTTGCAACAACTGAACAGAACATTATAATTGTGATACAAATACGTCAAGCTTATCACGAAATAATATGTTGTGTATCTTGGAAATTTTTAAGTCAAATCTTTTAAACGCCAATTGTCTAGTAAACAGTTATAAATGAGAAAAATTTGCAGAAAGCATTATCAAGTCGTCAGTTTGCAATCAATGTCTTCAATATTTGCTAAAATGTATCATTCATATCAGTATACTATTACTAGCAGATTCAAACACTAAATGCTTTGCGATATTGATGTTGGTGTTGATTTAATGCAGCCTGCTGGCTGACTGTGTGTTGAAACTTAAAAATAACTGATAATTGGATAATTGGATTTATCATCTTTTAATAAGCCTAACTCAACGTCACCAAACTGCACTGGATTTGATGAAAGATGCATTGTTGATTGAGACATTTGACTTTCGCTTTTCAGCATGTAAGTTTGTATCAGTATGAAAATGAATAGTTGCATAAGCGTGTTATCATTGAGTTACATGTTTAAATAGTTCTACGGAAATCAGTTCGAAAGAATAAATAGATTTTCTTAAAGAAAAACACACTGTTCTTTCATGATTATCATACATTTGAAAATAATTTATGTGAAGAAAGCTTTTGTGTTTTTCTAAAACCAGTAACCATGTCAACAGTGTTGAAAATAGTGAATTTTAAATTGACAATAAATTAAAAATTCTTATATACAAACAAATATCAATCAACACCAAAATCAGGATTTTCAATACAAATGTCAAGACAGTTCTACTGTATGGAGCAGAAACTTGGAGAACTACGAAAGCCATCATCCACAAGATACAAGTATTTATGAACAGTTGTCTTCGCAAAATACTTCGGATTCGTTCGCCAGACACTATTAGCAACAACGTACTGTGGGAGAGAACAAACCAGATTCCAGTGGAGGAGGAAATCAGGAGGAAGTGGTGGAAGTGGATAGGACATACACAACGAAAAGCACCTAACTGCGTCACAAAACAAGCCCTCACATGGAACCCTCAAGGCAAAAGGAAAAGAGGAAGGCCAAGGAACACATTACGCCAAGAATTAGAGAAAGATATGAGAGGAATGAACAAACATTGGACAGAACTGGAGAGGGAAGCCCAGGACAGAGTTGGTTGGAGAAAACTGGTGTTCGGCCTATGCTCGATTGGGGGTAACAGGCAAAAGTAAGTAAGTAAGTAATGGTAACTTTAAAGAGTGATACATGTGAAATAAAAATTAATGCTAACAATAATAATAACTGACAAACAGACTTACTGGTTTTTTGACATACGAAATGATAATCATGACAGCAATCTCCAGTAATTACACAACTCTCATCACAATAACATCGATCATGTGGACTTGAATGACTTGTTACACTACGAGATTTCCTCCATGGATAATATCTAGATATTGAAGATTGTTTGGTTGATTTGTAAACAAAGCATTTCTTCTCACGACCAGCACAGCATATAGACATTCCATTAGGTTGAAGGCATCCATTTGAAATAACTAATGAGATTTGGTTGATTGTAATATAAAGTGAAAATAATGTGACCCATTGGAAAAATTTCAAATGAAATTGAGTATTTAATTGTTTACGAATTGACAGAGTCATTTCTTGTGCATATAAGTAGTTACAATTCACAAGGTAACGAAAAAAAATACTGAAAATAATTAAAAATGATTGAACTAGGTTTCTTATGATGATACTTCAGTAATTCTGTTTAAATATGTTTTTTATTTGATAAGAACTCTACAATAAATTTTTGCTGCCTATTGTTTGCATATGATAAGTAATAATGGCCGTTTTAACAAGTGGACGTGTAATCATGTATTTAAATAGTATTTTTTAGAAAAAAAATTAAGTTTTTTTTTGTATTTCAAGGTAGTTGAGAGAAAAATATTTTTGCTTTTGTCTGATGACCGTATCCAGGTTTTATATACCGGTGGCCTACCGGCTCTGTACCATTACAACATACTGTCCTACCAATGTATGTATGTATGAATGTGATCAGTGCACAAGATACGGAAACATACAAACAAATGTTGCACACAAACACTAAACATTCATTTGGTGCTCAGGCCTAGACAGTGAATGAATTGATGCAAATGTTTGTACATTTTTGCCGGTATGTATTCCGATTGACTTCGTTTACGCAACAGTGTGATTGGTCAATTTTCAATTACTGTAACAAGTGAAAGACCTGACCTTCTCTTGACCCTGTTATAAATAACTATCCCTAGAAAGCGTAAAAATAACAAGGTTTTGATTACAACAGACTAACAAAACAAATGAAAAGGGTTAAGGCCAAGTTTTATTTTTCTACAATTGGATGAAGTTATTTACACTAGGTGTTTCAGTCTGATGATTAAGATATTTGGTAAAAATATCATATTCGTAATCTAATGTATATATACATGAAAATACGAAGAAACTGCATGCAAACTGTGTTTGTTATCGACACTGTCCTTCTTATGGTACCTGGATTAACAAGGAAAACAGGAACACTGTAATCACCGCATCATTATGACATAAGGATGTGTTTATTGCCTAAGAAGTTCTTCGCTTTTCTTATCGTCATTGAATCACCTTATTAGTCAGTTTAATAGATAAATAAGACCGACAACCAAGCCGTGGACTATAGTACAGTAATGAGTCTTTCTTTGAAAAAGATATAATTTATCTGAGGATTATAGACAAAAAAGAAAACTACAAAATTACTTCAGTGGCACTATATATGCATTTATCTTTTGGCGTCAATAAAATATTTTCTGTAAGGTCGAATGATATTGGAGAATGAATATTCAACAAATAAACGACTTAATTTTCATAGCGTGTAAAGCAGTTTTGAATTTCTTTCAGAACTTCATTAATGAGTCTGTTTTTGTTGCAAGTTACGCACTTTGCCTCCGTGAGAAATAAAAAAATGTTTGAAAGTAAATGTAATTGTTGAAATTATTAATCATCATGATGGACCATCATTAGAAATCCGGAAGTACTGGCCGGCCGTTTCATCCTAGTATCGGACTCATCACTAGTTTACATCCACATCCCCGCAATCGGGGACTGAACACAGGACTCTCGGTCTCGCGCGTGGACGCTGGGTTGGCACTCAACGATATGGCTGTACGTCATAAATTGTCTTCGGAGGGTTACTGCATCACTCCCGATGAGGTTGAACATCGCTGATCGTGGTTCCTCACAAAAACTAGAATTTCAAACGTGTTGAGAGTATTAATCATCAGTAACAACTGTTAGCCAATTAATGCTTTCCATGAGAATTAAAGCTTTCAGCGCGAATCTCTTGAATTATAAGCGTTCACGGTTGAGAGACCTCAAACTGAAGGAAAACAAATGTTACTTGACCCCTGACTTTCAGTGGTTTTCCATACGATGCCAGATCATGATGAAAGCTATCTTAGAAAGAAGTCTTTGAAATATGTTGACGAGAGTACTTAGCATACAGTAATTTCGTCTTGGATTTCACCACGAACCACAGTCATCAAGTTCGTCCACACCTGATCTTTATACAAATTTTGCTGAAAAATCACTTACATTACTGTGCTCTAGAACTGAATCTTGTCTAATCATGTAAATAGACAGGCAGATGACAACAAGGTACTCTTCAGAAATTATAGAATTTACTGCTCAATATTCATAACACCAGGTAAAATTCATTAATCTTTATTCGTTTCCAAAACTAAAACTTCTTTTATGATGTGATAGTGAATAGTATATAATAACATAGTGAAGACTCAATAGCTTGATGGTCCTCAAGGGTAGATTATAAATTATTTCATCGACTAAACGCTTGTTTACGTGCATAAATGAAATCTGACTAATTGGAAATCATTTAAAAGCATACGATTAGTCGATATTTCTAAACTTTCATTCTAAACATGTAAAAAGCTAATAATTCTTCTTTTTTTTAAAAAAAAAGAACGTAAATTATTCATAACATTAAGTTGGTAAAAATTATTCAATAAAACTTAATTGATATTTCATGTATTTCTACATTTTAATTAATTGGTATTTATTTACAAAATGAGAAAAGAGAAAACATTTTAACAAAATGACTAATTAGAATAAATACTGTCAAAAATATGAATAGGCTTTTAAATATCTTAAATGAAAGATTAAATTTTATAGTGTTTCTTCATATACTTCCTTCCTTATCGCATTGCTTTTGCTAACAGAAATAAAAAATCGTCCCATGAAATTGTACATCATGAATAAACTTCATCTGGATAGCTGGAAGCATAACTCCAACGAAATACTACATCGTCATGGGTTGTGTACAATGCATATCTAGAGAAATCATTTACATTAATTCAGTTTCCGATATTTCGGAATCAGTCTAATACAAAGTCCAAGTGTCTGGATTTCAGCCTAACTTGAAACTTTGGAGTATAGGGAAGAATCTCGAATTAGAACGAAAAATACTTCTTATTAGCTGTTTGACCGTCCTTGAGATTTAGTCGATGTTTCATCATATTGAAATCACTGATCCTAATAGTCATGTCTTAATATATATATATATATATGTCGGAGAATAAAATATTGACAATACTAATTTAGATAACTTTTTCATCTGAAAGGAATTATTTAAACAATTGAAAATTCCTAAATTCAAAAGATTCATTTATATATATATATATATCCCTATTAAGTATTTTAAATCAAAACCAAATTCACTTCACTTTTCATCCATCTGTAAAAATAGTAAATATTTTAGTGTTTTTACACATTTGAAATCATCATTTAACTATTGACTGACCACCATTAGAAACCTGAAAGCACTGGACGGCCGTTTCGTCCTGGCATGAGACTCTTCAGCATTGCGCATCCACGACTCCTGCATCCCGCAGGATTCGAACCCGGGACTAACTCTGATTGATCTAGAGTTAGACATTAACATCGTATTATGCCAGCCCAGTGGTCCAATGGTTGGGCGTTCGCGCCCAATATCTAAGGTCCCGGTTTCGAACCCCGCGGGATGCAGGAGTCGTGGATGCGCACTGCTGAGGAGTCCCATACCAGGACAAAACGGC